TATTAGGTCTGTTCTAGAAGATATCGACAGCAAATTAATTTTAAAAGAGGAACAGAGAAACGCGATCAAGTCTCATCTTCTTATTATAGGCGTGCAACTGCACGCTTTGATTTTTGTGGACAACAACTATGCCTCGCTTAACATACGTCACGCACTGCGTTGCTCTTATTGGTTGTAGGTCTATCCAATTGAGTGCAGAGGCATTTTTTTTCCTGGTTCGTTCGCTCTATGGAGCAGTATCAGACTCATATTCTGACTAGAATTGAGTCGGACTACGTCAGGCTAAACAAACAGCAGTCTTCTTAAAAACTTTAATATGTTGGTTTTTAGGGACAAAGGTCTATAGTCACTGATTTGCCTTTTGGAACAAGGCAGGAGATCTTTCATTTTCCCAGAACTGTCATCTGCTTAAAGAGGGGCTGTACGATTTTTCCTCTATGCCTCTTTGCTGTCTCTTATCCTGATCTTAAGGTGACTTTGTATACTCATCAATAGCTCTTTGTCTCTCTCCCTAAAGTCTTGTTTTTTTCTTTTTAGCATTAGATTTTTTTTCCATCAATGGTTTATTATTAGGAAGCATTTCACTGCTATGATGGGGATGGTGTTATCTACACAGAAGTTTATTCACACACTTGTATTGATGTCCTCTCAATGTGCATCACAATCTGTCGCCTTAAAACAACCTTAGAGGGCTTCTTCAGCTTCCTTTGACCATCTTTTTACAGTTGCTTTTAATGCAGGATTTCTTATATGAATTCATTTCTTTTCACTTTGGGTGTACTGGGTGAGGCTTTTGCAGCAGTATATAGTGGGGAGCACCTAGGAAACATTCATAAAATCAAAAAGTCAAAGAATGTAATTATATTTACAAAAAGAAAGATAGGTCGGTTTCAGCAATAGGTGAAGAAATAAGTATGAATGAAATAAAAACAGCTATAAAAGATACTGGATATTCACTCCCAGGAGATGATAATCTATGTTATAAATTGTTTAGAAGGAACCAACATTAAAATTAATATTACAACTTTTTAATCAAGTATGGAGAGAAGGTGACGTTCCTAATAAATGGAAAACTGCAACAATCCTCCCATTTAATAAACCAGGAAGAGATTCTTCAGAGCCAAATAATTACAGATCATTAGCTTTGACATCTCACTTATATAAATGGATGGAGAAAATATTAGTAAAGAGATTGGGGTTTATTTTAGAGCAGAAGCAGATAATCAGTTACTATCAATGTGGATTTAGAACAGGAAGGTCTACTATGGAGGCTTTGGTGAGAATTTCTAACGACATAGAAAAGGGACTAAAAATGGGAGAATTGATAATAGCAGTATTCTTTGACATAGAAAAAGCGTATGACTCAATGTGAAAGGAAGGTTTATTGATTAAATTAGAAAATAAGGGAATAGCTGGCAGAATGTATAACTAGATAGCAAGTTTCTCTACAGATAGGAAAATTAGAGCTAAAGTTGAGGATGAATACTCGAGAGATTTTAAAGTAGAAAACGGCATTCCTCAAGGAAGTGTAATTAGTCCTATACATTTTAACATTATGATTAATGATATGTTCTTAAATCTAGATGAATGCATTAAATCAGCACTTTATGCAGATGATGGAGCCATATGGTCGAGGGGAAGGAATGTCTCATATGTAGTTCAAAATATTAAGAGAGAAGTTAATAAAATAGAACAATGGTCATATGAATGGGGATTCAAATTGTTAGTTAGTAAATCCTGTTATATGATTTTCAGTAATAAAAGAAATATTTATATAGGAGAAGTAAAATTATATGATTAATCTATTAAAGGGATAGTTTGGTATTTTTGACATGAATCTGTATGGCATCCCCATCACCAGCGGCATGCAATCACACTGACTTACCCCTGGCAGCGTCCTGTGAGCAGAGTTCTCGTCCAGTTTTGGTCAAGCCGAAAGTAGTCCGGCAGGTTTGCTAGACCCAGCGAAATAAAACGTTTCTCTTCCCAAAACATTATGTGTTCAAAAGAGCGATATTTTTGCATCCCAAAAACATTGTAGTGGAAAAAGTCACATGTCGTTATCAATTGGTCCTATTTTCTCTCCGTTCGTATCAGTCATTCAGACAGCGAGCTCAACAACAGCCAGATGCATGTCTCCCTCCGCCTAGCTCCTAGCTGGGCGGAGGGAGACATGCATCTGGCTGTTGTCAGGTTAGTAGGCCCTAGCTGTTTGAATGACGGCGCGCACTGATACGAACAGAGAGAAAATAGGACCAATTGATAACGATGTGTGACTTTTTCCATTACAATGTTTTTGGGATGCAAAAATATCGCTCTTTTGAACACATAATGTTTTGGGAAGAGAAACGTTTTATTTCGCTGGGTCTAGCAAACCTGCCGGACTACTTTCGGCTTGACCAAAACTGGACGAGAACTCTGCTCACAGGACGCTGCCAGGGGTAAGTCAGTGTGATTGCATGACACTGGTGATGGGGATGCCATACAGATTCATGTCAAAAATACCGAACTATCCCTTTAAAGAGTGGCATAATTCAAATATTTAGGATTATGGTTAGATAGTTCATATCCATGGAAATGCATACTAAGCAGTTAGAAACAAAAGTTAACAAAGTAATAAACCTCATAAAAGCTGTGGCTGGGAATGATTGGGCGGCTGACAACCAGTCACTATTGAATATCTACAGGGCAGATCAGCAATAGATTATGGATGTATGGTATATGGAGCAGCAACAAAATCATTGTTACAAATAGCAGATAAATTGCAATATAGGGTATTACGTATAGCTACTGGAGCGACTAAAACTACCCCCATTAATGCTCTTTTAATAGAGGCTGTAGAAACACCTTTAAAAATGAGACAGGTCAAAATATCACTTTCATATTGGATCAGAATTAAAAGCAGTAGTGAAGAAAACCCAGTAGCAAGCATTATTAAGACCTGTTGGGAATATTCCAAATTTACAAGGAAGGGCTTTGGCTGGACTAGGAATGAATGGGCAAAAATATATAAGTAGGAGGATAAGAAATTCTCTAAAATTAACCCAGTGCTGTACCACCATGGTTGTTTCCAGAAACAAAAGTTGACTTGAAAATACATGAAAAGAAAAGAGAATGGAAAAATAAAGAAGTTGGGATTAAAACTAGCTTATACATTAGACAACTATATTATAGTTATTAAAAAATTTACACAGATGGTTCAAAAAATTCAAAGGGAAACGTGGGAATAGGGATATTTATTCCAGAGTTTAATATGTGTAAAAGATTAACAGACCTTTTATCTATATACACAGCAGAAATTGTAGCAATTATTATTAGTTTACAGTGTGGAGGAGGTTAGACCAGACAGGGTGGTGATTTGCACAGATTGTAAAGCTGCAATAGAAAGCATTCATTCTGGAGTAAATAATAAGAAAGGCCTCGTACTAGAAATTCATCGGAGTTTGTTTAGATTATTTAGGTATGGAACAGATGTTCAGTTCTGTTGGGTTCCAGCCCAAAGAGGGGGGAGTGGAAATGAAATAGGAGATAAGATAGATAAAAAGGCTTTAGGAAAGCAGAATATAGATCAGATTCCATTTGGGAAAGGGGAAGGTAAATCAATCATTAAAGGGAAAGAAACAGAATTATGGCAAAAAAATAAAAAATATGGGATGAAGATGAGAAAGGAAGAAGATTATACAGGGTTCAAAATCTGTAATTGTTAAAAGTTATGGAGAAAGAAGCAGAAGGGAAGAGATCATTTATACTAGATTAACAACTGGACATACCTACTGGAATGAGTTTTTGTTTGTACTGGGGATGACAAATAATAATTTATGTGAGGGTTGTGAAAGAAAAGAAAATGTAGATCATATTTTGATTGATTGCATTAAATATGCACCTGAAAGAGAGAGGATGAGGAAAGTAATTATGGAAAAAAGGGAGAGAATGGAGAATTAAAGTGATTTTAGGCACAGATGGAGATAGTGAGGAACATTTGGTTATTAATAAAGCATTTTTTTTTTTACATAACACAAAAATAAAAAATAGAATATAGTCGGTGGAACTATAGAGCTACACACTCATGTACACTAGATGTAATGTATTTATGTGGGTTCCAGCACATATTGGAGTAGAAGGAAAGATAAAATGGCAAAGAGGGGAATTTAAAATCCTATTAGTTTTACAGTTAAAACAAATAAATCGGAGGGAAAGAGTATTATTAAAGAAAAAATTGATGGAAAAATGGCAACAAAAAAAAAAAAAGCTGGGATGAGGAAAAAACAGGGAGGTGGTTTTATGAAATTTAGTAGTAGGAAAAAGAAGAAATGGCAGATGAAATAGAAAGGAGGAGAGAGGGATAACAAGGTTAAGATTTGGGCAAACAGGACTTAATTATATACTTTTTTAGAACATGTTATACTGGAATGTCATAAACATGAAAGCCAGAGAAGACATATGAGGAGAGAGTTTGAATGTATTAAGGAAAAGATGAATTTATTAGATATTTTGAATGTGTTTATAATATAGACAGGTAGAATACAAAGTTATGTATAAGTATGTAGTTGTTCTGTTTCAAGTTTTCTTTTTTTTTTTTCTTAGAATATATATATGTTTATTAAGTAGATCGTACATCACAAACCACACTCCATACCAGTAAGTGGCGGTGATGTTACTAAATGTTTGTTGCCAATCTACAATAAATCCACGAAGAAGAAGGCGTTGCAATTTGCAGACGGTCCCTGCGCCTGTACAGAGAACAGTCTCCACATAGAGCACAATGCAATTTCTCTGGCGCGAGGACGGTAATTTTAGAGAAAAATACGATGGTAGCTCACAACTCACATTGCAGTGAGGTGTTGGTTGTGTAAAAACGTTGTTCCGCTGGTGAGTTATTGGTACGGAGTCCCGAATCTGGTGATATTTTTCTGACGTCACCAACGTGTTTCGCCAATCAGATGAGGCTAAAATCCTCAGTGTGCATAATCAGGGAATCGTTTCTATCAGGTGTTTCCTACCTATCCGGTGTAAGATGATCTGGGGGATCCTGGTGAAATCCAGCAGTAGATGTTGATCTTCCATCTTTTCCTCCGAATTGACCAAACTCCCTTTAAACTCCGTGAATGTTTCTTCAGCAGGAGTTAACTGCTCGGTGATAAACTCTCCTTGAAGCTGGACTGAAGACATTCTCACTGCAAACACTCCCAGATTATCAGCCTCTCTACAATGACTCCACACACAAGCTAAGCTAATGCTACCCTATCCCTACCAGCAGCTCATTGCGCATGCGCAGCCACATCTACATCATCTGGTCACCCTCGTTTTTCATTTTAAAAAAAGATATATATTACGTTTTTCCTTCCTTGAAAATAATAAATGCAGTAAACTATAATGTGTTTAAGGTAAATAGTGTACTTCCTAAGAAAATAAAAGCATTAAGATCGTTTCTGTTTTATCACTTTTTTGCCCAAAAAGCTACAGAACTACATAAACAGTATTCACAGATAAAGGAGAGGGAGCAATAATAAGTATAAAATAAAGGGATAACATATATAGAATCAGGAACAGGGCATTAAACCAGCAGATTAAATTTACTCACAAAAGAAAGACAATTACCAGCACTTTTAGTCAGTGGCGAACCTAGACCAAATGTACCAGGGGCCTGGAGGGGACCAGCATGTTTTCATGGGGGCCCAGAAAAGCATGAACTTAAAAACAGGGAAAGGGATTCAAATATATTAAGTTAGCTGCATGAAGTGACATTTCTATTCAATCGGTTTAATTAAAGTCCTATTTCTTATTAGGTCAATATTCATTCATAATTTAGGAATTTTACATATTTTTTACTATATGTAAGTCAAAATCCCTGTGTTTTAAAAAAAAAATCTGAATTAGAACTCAAGAAATACTTATACATTTAGCTGTAAAAAAAATTAATTTGTTTTGAAAAGAACATTTAGCAAATGAAAACTGGGCTCCTATCTCAACACTACTGAAGCTATCACCTTATTGTTTTTAAATAAAATGTCTAAAGGAGGGCAATGTTTACGTAGTGTAGAAACAAGAACCCACATGGTAATCTTCAAGAAACCTATTCAACAGACTTTGATGAAAATTTTGGTCAAATCAGTGCAGGGATCAGATTATTTATTCTCATGGTTTATCTAAATCAGCAGGTGTGGCTACATTACTGAATAACTTTCCAGGGGAAATAATTCATTAAAAAAAACATGATAGTGATGGCCATTGGTCTCTTTCTGTAATATTTATTGAGGACTCATTAATAATCATGGCTAATGTTTATGGTTAGTGTAACATTTCCAAAAATAAAGAACATCTTACTATATTATTATTATTATACATTGTTATTGAAGCAAATATAAACTTAAACTAAGGTTTCCAATTAAATATATTTTATTAGGTGGGGATTGGAATCTGGTTATGGACGAAGCTCTTGATAAAAACCCAAACATATATTTTAAATGTCCTTCCAAACTGAATTTTGTCTGATTTCTGTAATAGCTTGAGACTCATCGACTTATAGAGAGACAAACATGTTGAGATAAAACAGTTCTCTTGATTTAAAGCAGACGCTTCAAGCAGAATAGATTTTTGACTAGGAATAGATGATATTCTCAAACTAACATCAGACTGTAATATGTCTCCAACTCCTCCTACTAATCATTGCAGCATTAATATTTAATGCTATAATTAATTAATTTCTCCTCTTCCTGAGAGTTTAAGATATAGAGGAAATTCAATAAAATTCTCTGAAAATATGAGCTGTATTGTAGGGAAATTAAAGAACTAGATAAAAAGAGTCTGTTAAGCGATTCAACAATAACCTATACCAAAAAATGGTAATACCTAAAATATAAGATACTGGATTATTCTACCTCTTTTAGCAAAGCCCTAAAAAGGAACAATGACCTGGAAGAAGGTAGGTTAGTTAAAGAGTTAAACCCGAAAAAAATAACCTACAAGTTAAATTAGACAGCATCTATGAAAGAGAGGCCAGAGGAGCTTTTATCAGATCCAGAGCTAAGAGGATGGAGGAAGGAGAAAAAAAACAGATCATATTTCTGCAGACTGGAAAAGAGGAGACAAGTTAAAAAACACATTCAATCCCTTATTACTAACTACAATGAATGCACGGACCAAATTCTACTTGCAAAAGTGATTAGCAAATTTTATCAAAACCTTTATTGCTCTTCTTTTTTAACCAAAGACTGCGACCTTCTAATAAAGCAAGTCAAAGACTCTGTCCCTCAAATCTCTGAGGAATTCAAGGAAAACTGCAACAAAGATATTAATATGGAGGAACTAGACAGCACCATCATGTGCTTCAAACTTGATAAATCCCCTGGCCCTGATGGCGCTACCACTAATTTCTATAGACATTTCTGGGATTACTTTAGAGAATTTATAATCCAGGTATTTAAAGAGATCTTATGCAATAATTCACTTCCACACAGCAATGAAGCAGGGCGTTATAGTCCCTTATACCCAAACCAGGAAGCGACAACAAGGTTCTAGACAACTACCGTCTGATCACGCGTCTGAACTGTGATTATAAAATATTGACACATATCTACAGAAACAGATTAAAGACTGGTCTTAATGATGTTATTTCTGAAACAAAGACAGGTTTTATGTCCAAAGGAACTATAGATGATAACATCAGACTGGTGCAGGAATTACTTGAGTACAGTGAACTGATTGAGGATAAAGGCTTCATCCTTTTCCTAGACTTTTATAAAGCCTTTGATAGGTTGGAGCATTAGTTTCTTTTTAAAGTTTTACACTTATTTTGATTTGGGCCAAACTTCTGTAGAATCATTAAAAGCTTTTATAACGGCACCTCAAGTGAAGTTGCACTGCCACACGGTACGTCTCCATGTTTCACCATTAGTAGGGGAGTAAAACAGGGCTGCAGTATTTCCCGCTTTCTCTTCAGCTTGGCTGTTGAAATATTTTCATAAAAATATATATATATCTAAAATATACCTAAACTGAAAGTTTTAGATGACCAAATTGTCAACTAGCTGATGACATCACAATTTTTTTGAAGAGTCTAGACCAAACCCCTAATGTACTGGAATTAATTAATACTTTCTCCAAAGCATCAGGATTAACCTTAAACCTGCAGAAGTGTGAACTGAAGGTGATTCATGATTCTGTTAGGTTTGATGATGATTCTTATCTGACTGAAACTCAGTTAAATATCTTGGTATCTTATTAACTAAATATGCTAAACTCAGTGAAACTGTCAACATAGAGAATAAAATACAGAATTGCAGATCTCGGTTAAATAGATGGCTCCAAAGAGATCTAAACCCTGTTTGGGAGAACCTATTTAACCAAAATGGAGTCACTGTCCAGGTGCATATACCCAGCTTATTCTATGGTCATACCTAACAGAAACATTAAAGCTATAAATCAGCTGAACTTTAATTTCATCTGGAAAAATCAAGTCCACTACTTAATGAAAGCAATTAAAGACTTTACAGATTGTGGTTTAAAATCTATTGAATTTGATTGTTTAAATGCGGTCTTTTATGAAAATTGGTTGAAATACTGTTTAATGAATGGAAATAGTATCTGGTTTTGTCTGCTCAAAGGTTTGTTTAAAAAATTGGAGGCTCAGATTTTGTTCTTAGGTGTAACTTTAGTGTCAACAGACTTCCTGTTCAAGTTTTGTTGTGTTGAAAACTTATGTTCACACACAGCTTTCCTCCTCAGCAGACTCCCACCTGGAACAACAGAGATGTGTTACACAGAAATAAGTCTCTGCATTTGGATCACTGGATGGAAAAAGGTATTTGGTCCATAAGACATTTTCTCAATGACTGTAGAGATTGGTTATCTTATGGTGAATTTAGCTAATTATATAATCTGGATTGCTCAGGAACTCAGTTTAAAACAATAATGAATTCTGTTCCCTCTGCAGTCAAACATCTGATTCAAAATATAAACATTCAGTCAGCTAGCCTTCAGTTACCCGCTCTTCAACTGTTTGGAGTTAAACTTTTGAAAAAAATTTAAAATTCTCAATAACATTTTTCCATCCAGGGAAATATTAAGTCAAAGATTCAACTTTGACACTAACAGCCAGTGTTGGGCATGTTACTTTGAAAAAATAATTAGTTATAGTTACTAGTTACTTCTCCCAAAAAGTAACCAAGTTACTAACTGAGTTACTCCACAATAAAAGTAACTAGTTATTAGTAAAAGTAACTATTGCATTACTTTTGCGTTTCTCGCCCCCGTAACCCTCACCACCAGCCCCCACCTTCTCACAGTGGGTTTCAAAAGCAAGCTGAATAGAGCGGATGACAAAGACAAGAACCTGCAGAGAGTTTTGAAGTTATCGCAACTCAACGTGAATGACATCAGGGGGGAACGCCATGTGAGGTTTTTTAACAGGGCATTCAGATCTGGTGAGTATATGAAATTAATAACTGGGGATGTCTAATTCTGAAATCCTGTGTGTTTGGGTTGTTATAGATACTGCAATATCTATCTATCTAGATGTATACTCTGTGTGTGACATAAAATATGGATCTCCATCCCTGCCACAAAGGCCATCAAATAATGTTAATCTCACGGAATCTCACTATACATCAGCCATTCTCATCCTCCCCTCTCTCATGACAGGGCGCGCACGAGTCCTATCATGAAAAAAGGTTCATTGTGTGACCTGAGTAACGCGCAGTAACGGGGTGTCTGCAATGGTAACTGCGTTATAGTTATAGTCAAAGTAATTAGTTAGATTACTCGTTACTAAAACAAGGTAACAGCGTTAGTAACGCTGTTACTTTCAACGCCGTTAGTCCCATCACTGCTAACAGCTGTACCTTTTTTGACGATGACATTGAAACAACAGATCATCTCTTGTTCTATTGTTTGCTCACTGGTACATTTTGGAGAAACTTTCAGGACTGGATCTCAACCAAACTTTCCCTCCATCTTCCCTTAAAAAGAGAGGATATAATATTTGGAACCACCCACAGAGACAGAAGAACCGACCTGCTGATTCTTCATCCATTCCTGTAAATGGGCTGATAGAAAACCTGACTTTTCAGCCTTTAAATACCTTCTAATGGAAAACCACTTCAGAACCTTAAAAGAGATAAAAAAAACAGCATGGAGTACAGCTCTTGGACGCCTTTAATGATCTGAATTCTTTTAAGAACTGATGCCCCTTTATTTCTTTCTGTTTGTTTTTGTAGTTCTGCTATCCCTCTGTTTGATGTCTGACAATTTTATTTATATTTTCTTTTTTAATTGCTGTCTTATAATGATATGTTTCTTAAGCCTGAAGTCTTGATTCCTTCATGTATGTACATGTCATTTGATATTGTATAATTTTCCATAATTTAAAAAAAAAACAATTAAAAATAAAAAACACTCAATGTTTACATTCCCCCAAGTCTATCAAGGGAGTACCAATATGGCGATGGTGACGTAACGGCACCGTGTTCTACCAACTGCCTATCATCACTCCAGTGAATAGAGATCAGAGGCACAGAGGAGAGATAAAAAGGAAATGATTTTAATTCATTTTTTCCCAGAATATACATCAACCTTTAACAAATTGTTGTTCAGTTCATTTATTTATTTATCTATTTATTTTGTATTATTTTTTTTTATTTTTTATTTTTTTACATCCAGTGTGGCCCGGATGTAGACCTAGTTGCGCATGCGTAAATGAGCTGCTGCTACGGATCGTGCAGAGTAGCTTTGCTTCTTTGTGGAGTCATTGCAGAGAGGCTGATAATCTGGGAGTGTTTGCAGTGAGAATGTCTTCAGTCCAGCTTCAAGGAGAGTTTATCACCGAGCAGTTAACTCCTGCTGAAGAAACATTCACGGAGTTTAAAGAGAAAGAGTTAAAAGAAGAGAAGATGCTGGTGAAGATTGTCAGTTATCCAGATCAGAGTCAGCAGGAGAAGATGGACGATCAGCACAGGATCCCCCAGATCATCTCACACCAGATAGGTAGGAAACAGCTGATAGAAACGATTCCCTGACTGATCAGAAGAGATCAGGTTGCTAAGCTGCTAACTTCTGGTTGAAATTTTTATAATTATATGACTGATCTTTGCTGTGTAGCAATGGAGTCGAACTTGCGCAAATGGACGCCATCTTACCACGGTCAGCTCGCATATGTACAGCACTGGGGGGCATAGACACAATTTAAAAGTAGACCCCGCATCCATCTATGGGCGCTGACGTGATTTGTTGTCGCCATCTTGGGGCGGTCGAGAGCTCTGCTCAGTGACATGTTTGGAGCAGGCGCAGAATCAATTTAAATCAAGATTAACTCGCTGAATATTGAACACATTTCACCAGTTTTGTGTTTTTTGCCGAGAACAAACAAATAGTTGAGTGTATTTAAGTTTTTATAATTGGTTATGCACAAATACACATTCACATATCTCTCACTGTACATGTGTATCTAGATCTATAGATGTATATATCTATAGATGTATATATCTATAGATGTACATATCTATAGATGTATATCTGTAGCTGTACATATCTGTAGCTGTACATACCTATAGATCTAGATCTATATATATATATATAGTTATATATATAGATCTATATATATATATATATATATATATATATATATATAGATCTAGATCTATAGACGTATATCTATAGATGTATATCTATATCTAGATATACATCTATAGAGATGTATAGAGAGAGAGAGAGAGAGGCTATATAATTTTGTAAAGAGATGTAAAAAGAACAGCACAACCAACAGACATGGTGCAAGATATACAATAAAGTAACACCTAGATACTATTGCTGAAATATAAGTAGTATTATTTAATCTGACATGTACTCTGTGGTAGCTGAAGATAAAAATATGTCTTTCTGTATGGAAGTGAATCTCTAAGTACCTGGAGCCAAGCACCTGTAGTTGTTTGTGAGAGTGGACTTGTGCATGTAAAGTTTATCCGAAGAAAAAAATGCTTAATTATCTGCTTTGTGAAACTTCAATAAAGAGCCCTAGAGGCGTTTTTTAACCTCCGGGCCACATTATAGTGGGTGATTTAGATCAGCTGGTGGTGGCAGCTGGAATATGCAGATGTTTCTGTGGCTTCAGGACTCCTTCATAGAACCTGGAAATAAACAATCCATGCTCAATTTTAAGAACTACAAATTATTCTAATATTCACTCTGATTGAAAACCCATACATTTTATTGCATTTTGTTTCAGTAATCCCTGCCAACAGATAAAACCTTTCCATTGTGCAGAACTGATGTTTCAGAGCCTCAGAGTCATCAGAGAAAGATCCTAATAGATCTCAAGATGCAACAAAGATCAGAAAATGCAGAGTAATCATTGAAACCCGACTGAGATGTTAAAAAGCCACGAGAAATAGGAGGTTTTAAAGGATCAAGTGGCTTTATTTTTCTATTGTCATTCTGGATGATATCTAAAAGCCTTCAGACTAAAACAGTCACGCTTTGTTTGTTTCAGAAGATCTGAAAGAATGTAGAGTAGATTAGTTTTTACTCTTGGTTTCAGAATGAAGTAAAAATAAATTGGGGAGGGAAAAGATTGAACTGAGGCCCATACCACGAAGCAAGCTCAACCTACTGGTATTACTTCCAGCCAAATCAGTTTAACCAATCCACAACAGTGGAGATAGTTACTAGCGGTCCCATAAAGGTGGTTATCAACTTGAACTTGAATTGAATCATGCACATATAAAGGGTAGCAGACCAATCATAACCATGAGCGAAGAAGGAAGAGTGCCATATTTCTCAAACCTTTGAGGAGGTCGCCTCACATGATAGCTAAAGGTTGCAAGTAGTTGACAAGCACACAGCAGATTTATTTGAAAATATGTGAGAAAAAAAAGTATAAAGTCTGGCTGATGCAATATCTAGTACCCGAGAAGGTCCAAACCTGGGATTGTAATCTTATAGCTGCAGTGCATGCTGGGAGATTTAGTTCCAGTGTGTTTGTATGTAGATTGATCAACAAATGGATGATTAAAGTGAGATGTCCTTTCTTTAACCTAGAATAGAAAGTCTTTCTGCTGTGTTTTTCTTTCAGACCGCCTGCAGGATTATGTTGGAAAAGAGGAGGATTTCTCTGACCAGCAGCTCTATGAGCAGGAGAAGAATTCCAGTTTGGATGAAGAGGAAGCAGAACCCGTGCGGATAAAAGAAGAGCAAATGGAGCCAGAAGATCCCTGGACAAAAGAGGAAATCATTGAGGTCCCCATTAGTGAGCAGCTTCTTCTGAAGCACGAGAATGAAGATACAGGAGAGGAAGCTTTCCCATGTTTGACATGTGGAGAAAGCTTTAAAAAAAAAGAACATTTAATGGTTCACATAAGAACTCACACAGGTCAGGAGATTCATGAATGTCCATTCTGTGGAAAAATGTTCATTAAGAAATCTAGACTTATTAACCACATGAGAATGCACACAGGTGAGAAACCCGTTTCCTGTACCATTTGTAACAAGAATTTTACCAACAAGAGGAATCTGACTAGACACGTGAGAATTCACACTGGTGAGAAACCTTTTGAGTGTCTTTCCTGTGGGAAAATGTTCAGAACGAAATCTAATCTTGATGCCCACATCAGAACTCACTCCGGTGAGAAGCCTTTTTCCTGTAACATTTGTTTCAAGAATTTCACTGACAAGAGTAATTTGATTTCTCACATTAAAACTCACGCTGGTGAGAAACCTTTTTCCTGTAGCATTTGTAACAAGAATTTTACTGTAAAAAGTAGTTTGACTTCTCACATGATAATTCACACTGGTTTGAAACCTTTTGAATGTCTGTCCTGTGGAAAAGGCTTCCCTAAGAAATCTGGGCTTAAAAAACACATGAGAATTCACACAGTTGAAAAGCCTTTTTCCTGCAAGGTTTGTGGCAAAGGTTTTACTTTAAAAAGGAATTTGACCAGACACATGAGATTCCACACAGGTGAGAAGCTGTCTCCTGAATGATTGGTCAAAGGTTTTAAATGAGAAGGTAAATAGAGTATTAATGACGTATTCATGCATGATGTGGAATGATTTATATTTTAAAAAAAAAATACTTGTTTGAACATAAGTCGTAGCAGTTGGACACCACATGAATGAACAGTAGAGGTGTTTTCCATGTTTGACAGGTGATAACATGTCCATCTAGAAACTCCTTCACCTCATTACATGAGAAACTCACGGGTTAATGGTCTTTTTGGAGCAAAATGTTAAGAAAGCCAATAATTAACAGCTCTGTTTACGTAGAAAGTAGAACTGATAAGGTGTTTTATTGTAAACCTGGTAAATATTCAGCTCCTGGGTGAATATGTGGACGTGAACGTTTGAAAGTTGCGCATGTTGCTCATATTAAATTAACTAAAAACAAATTTCAAGTCCTGTTAACTGAGTTTTATAATCCTCTCCCTTTAAATATTTAATTCTCAGTGAAAAAATGCAAACCATTCTTTAAAGTCGTAAGGAAATCGTATTTAAATGTCAAATAATTCTGGCTTAAACGTGTATATAAATGTACTCATTATCAGAAGATAGTGTCCCTATAGAGAGTTAGAAAATTTCTATTTAAAAAGAAATCCTCTCTTAAAATCTTTGGAGTTTTTTTCCATTATCTTATGCAGGCGAGTTAGTTATACGTCAGCTTGTACACCTAAATTCGGCCAATCATATATCAACGGTCATCTGTCAATCTAATTTTTTCGGTCATAGCATCTTGATTCATATGTCGCAGCTAATATACATAACGGTTGAAATAAGAAAAAAAGGAATTATTTCCTTTCCCATATAGTTCCATCCCAGTGTTCACAGGGATGGACAACTGTGTCTTCAGCAGGCGTAGAGCTAACAGAACTGGCAGCGTTGCGAGGCAAGGGCTCAAACATGTACGGCTGTTAGCCTTCTACACCAAACCAAGCTTCTGCCGCCCTGGCGTCCTCTTCCACAACATCTTCTTTCCCACTTTCCTCCTCTAAATAACAAATGTATGACGGAGGAGACTCATCCATGACCTCAAACACAAAACTGTCCTCTTGCATGTTTCCGCTATCCATAGCGTTCCTTGACGGTGTCGTTTCTAAGTGCTACCTGGTCCCACTGTAATTTTCCATTGGGAACCTACTAGCGCTACATTGCTAACTGGTTAGCAAGATGCTTCTGACAAACCGGCCACAACCAAACTTGCTTGCTCTGACTAAATCCGAAAATAAAACGACTTGATTGGCTGTAAGGAGAGCGGACAGAGAGGACAATCTGATATCGCCCATATGCGACATGTATCTGATCGTTTCATTGCAGTCTGAACAACACAAATCCGATTTTTTCCAGTCAGACCCATACCACTTGGCTATGTGGTTCTGAATCCGATGCTAATCGGATCTTTTCAAATGCGACCTGTGTGTGAATGGCCGTCATTAATACCTGACAAAGGACACTATTCTGCGTGTTGCTATGCAGAAGCGGCAAGAAAAAGAACAACCATGGCAGATGATGATGTGGAGAGCAGTATTTATGTTTAAACATATTGAAAAGATAGAGTTTTTATTGGAAAAGATCGCTAGATGCGCGCCGGCACTACACCCCCGTAAACATGGAGCATGCTGGCCTGTGACGTCATTGCGTCCTCTACTGCGCATGCGGGACACTTGCGTTGTATGACTGCTGTTTACACAGGAGATCACATACAAGTCGCATATATTTGGAAATATGAACGGCAACGCAAAAAAAAAAATCGGATTTTGCAAAAAATCGGAATTGAGCATCAAGGCCTGCAGTGTGAACGTAGCCTGAGTTTACATAATAAAACTTGCTACACACCAGGTTAGCTCTGGGTTAATTGTTAATTTATGTTACTACGGCTACTGAAACAGGTTGAGGAAAGTCTCTCTGTGAAACGGAAAACTCTAGTTTCTCTGTTTAAAATTCACAAACTGCTCATCGGTTCTGTTGAAAAATAAATAGTCCACCTACACCCTTATTCATGTTTACTTAAATTTTCCATTTGCATGTTCACTTTTATGGAATGCATCTAAAAATGTAAAACATATTTGCAATTCAAACTAGATATGAAATAATACATTATAGCAAACAATGGCTTAAGTCATGTTAAGGTCATTAAAATCAGTGTCAGTTTAGTGTGTGAGAGAGGCTGCCTGTAGGAATTTGAATTGTCCAGCAGGTGTCAGTATTCAGTGACACTATAAACGCAATATAAATACTGTTTGCACGTGTCAAAACGCTTCGTGACGCCTCATGAAGCATCAATTTCTTACAGTATTCTACCAAAGAACAAAAAAACCTCCAAAATAATCCTATAGTTATCAGGCCTTCTAAGAGTTTTTGTAAACTTTTAAAAGTTTCATGCTCACCTGTCTGCAAACGGCTAATGTCCGTTGGGATGTTAGATATTCCACCAATGAGTTGGACATTGATGGACAAAGGGAAGACAGATTTAATGTGCTGTGCCCAGTTTTGCTGATGTTTTTAGAGGATTTTTTTTAAAGAGGTCAGCTGCAAATTATCAGAGTTTTGCTAATTCAGTGTCTTGTCTGGCTTTCATTAGCAATGCATCAATCAGGGGTCCGTTTCATGAAGCAGGTTTAATGAAAACTCCAAGTTGTCTAAACCTGAAAACAGGGAAAGTCTGACTTTTCCGGTTCACAAAGAGACTATATTCAACCTGTGTTCTCCGTCTCTGCTCTTCTCACAGCCAATCACGCTGTTTTATTTCCTGAAATGGTCAGATTTGTTGTAGTTTTGGGCTTAAAAAAAAAAAAAAAAAAATTTATATAGATAAAATTCTCTAGGTCCGTCGACACCTTACATTTTAGTCTAGATTTCTTATTAAAGAATGATGAGTGCTTTTTTTTTTTTTTTTACAGAATTAAATATTTATAAGGAGAGGGTTCTACAACTGTGTTGACAGGGCATGAGATTACATGTTTTTGGTTTGTTTAATATGAGTGAGATGCGGATCATTTCATTTTAATTTAGTCATATTTATAGTCCATCTAGAACTACTGAAATTATTTTCAGATTATACATAAAAAGATTTAAGTCCACGGGGGAAAAAAGGAATGATTTTAGGGTTAGGATTAAGGATTCACTCGATAACAACCTACTGGGACAATCGGAGGGCATTCTATGGGACTGATAGCCGCTTACAACGGCCATTAGTCTTCAGACACTTAACTGTGTAAAAGACTGAATCATCATGAGTAGGAACCCATGAGACGACCAACAGGTTCTTTATATTAGAACGTTTTTATTCTTCATCCTTACCTGCTGCCAGAAGATTTCACCTAAATAGATACATTGATCTACTACTATTGAAGAAATAATCCCCTATTATTTTCACAGTAAGAACAGCTATAGCAAGCTCTTTTGATATGTACTAGTTTTACTGAAAATGTGTTCCTGATATCTTGGGGAAAAAAACTTATTTATCTGAATGACCATTTCAATCAAAATAACAAACATTTTGAATGCCTAGAAATTAGTTTCAGATCTCCATATTACTAATGTTACTGGTCAGGATTTGTACTATTTTAATTATGAAGAATATTTTTTCAGATATCATAAATACATTTTCAATCAAGATGATAAATGTCAGAATGGCCCCTTAAAATGTGTTTTAACATTTCTAGATATATAAAATTCTTACTAGTATAATTTTTTTTCTTTCTTTCTAAAATTCAGTTTCTGCTACCAAAATGTAATTTAGAAAATATATATATATATATATATATATATATATATATATATATATATATATATATATATATTACAGTTAGGTCTAGGAGTGTGATTTTGATCTAGAATAATTTTATTTTAGTGATCTACAAATTGAACAACAGAGAGTAGTGCTTTTAATAAATGTAAAAATGGCCTGCCATAGGCCACTTCATATAAACTTAAGCATTAACCTTAGCAACAATCTTCTCCTTCACAGTCTTCCTCTCCTCCGTAGCTGTAGCGCTGTTTCTGTCTTTAAAAACATTCTCATTTGTTTTGCACGTCTGCATTAAAATCTCTCGTTCCAGTGGGGTGAAATAGGCGCTTCCCGTTGCCTGTTGTCATAGTGAATCGTCGAATCGGTGCTACACTGATAATGGCTTTTCATAATTGTTGCGCATGCGTTTAACTGTGAGTGGACCTAGTTAAAATTGACTGAACTAACTCATAGCAGCCGTTGTGAAACCAAACGCTCAGAATTCCCGACTTTTGGCTAGATCAATTTAGAGTTGAGGATTTGAATCCGAATTTGTTAAAACTGCTACATATGTGTTGTTTAAACCAGGCCTACCAAAGCTCAAACTTTTTTTTGGCACTATTTCAGAATGAAGTAGAGTCTCAGATGAAGATTTGGGACATATATAAGTGTGTGTCAGTCTCAGAGTTAGTCAGCTACAAGCTAATTAATAATGCAAAGTAGCTCCAGCCACCTTGAAAGGGGGTGCTGGGATTATGGGGTTAAACTACGGGACATCAAAGAACTCAGTTTAGAGGCTGGAGTCTGTAGTTCAGGTAAATTGAAGTCCTAAAATGATGAAACAAGTTTGTTTAAAAAGATAAACAGGATGGTGTTATTTTTGTTGATCAGTTTGAACCTGCTTTAACTCGGTAAAAAGCCTTTGTCTTAATAATGTAAAAGTTAAAGAAATCTGACTCTCCTCTAGAAGTATGAAGTTTCTGCTTTTTAAAGATTATTTTTTAAAGTGTAATTTTGCTTTGAACTAATTCTAATAGTTTTGTTCTTGATTCTGTAGATGTTCTATTTACCTGCTATGATTAAAAGTAACTATCACCTATTTTATACAACTGATTTTATGTATTCTATTCTGCTGTGGATGTTTTTAATTATTGTAATCACTTCTAAATTGATGAACGAGCAGAAATAAAAACCTCATGGAGCCTAAAAATGTTTCTTTTTTTTTGGTTTCATATAAATGTAAATTATTTTTCATGTTTTCTCTGATATTTTCAGCCAAACTAAAGCTGTAGAATAAATACTGGTAGTTTAATGTCATTCACCTTCTGTCTTCTCCAGTCTTTCCTGTTGCTCCTCTGTCAGCATTAAT